TAGTTACAGTTCTAAGACTAATTTTTTCTCTGATTTACTAGTGAGTCACTTACACTCCGTTGGCCCCGTTTTCCATCCATAAAAATGCAGAATCAGACTTCCAGTCAAACAAAGTGGCATAGAATTGTCTCTCCCTGCTTCTTCCTGCTAAATACAACTATAAAACCTGGAAATGACACCAGAGACAATTAGGAGAATTCTGAAAGGTGGAAAGAGGAAGATGATCTGGTTGTGGACCCAGAACTGGCAAAACAGCACAGCAGCAGGGTGTCTCCCAACCCCCCACCCAACACAAAAAGGAGACCTAGACTGGGTGTTTCTTGACCTCCAACCTAGCAACAAAAGGTGGCCCAGGTAGGCTCATTCCTCTGCTAGATTGAATGCAAGTCCTGCCATCAATATTAAGAGAGCCCAGCAAAACTGGCAGGAAGGATTAGAAGCCCCGCTAATAATAAGTGGCCACCAGGGGAGTTCTCTCCCTCCCTTCCATGAAGCAGGCTGGGTAGGAATGACAAAGGGATCGCCTTACAACCAGCCCGGAATGGGTGGCAGTGTTCATCTATGAAGTCCAGAGGCTCCCTTCCCCTCATAGTCGTACCAGGTGGCCATGGGAAACTCCTCCCACCCCTTCAAGCTTCACTGACTGACAGCCTACTAAATTTCCACCTCAAGAAATTAGAAAAGGAAGAGCAAAAATAACTCGGAGCAAACAGAAGGAAGGAAATAATAAAGAGGAGAGCAGAAATCGATGAAATTGAAAATAAGAAAATTTTTAAAAATCAATGAAACTAAAAACTGGTTTGTTGAAAAAAAGTCTAATAAAATTGATTTATTTTTATTAGCAAAACTAACAAAAATAAAAAGAGAAGATACAAATTACCAATCCCAGGAATGAAATGGAGCTATCATTACAGATCCTGCAACTGTTAGAAGGGTAATAAGGAAGTTCTGTGAACAACTTTATACTCATAAACCTGCTGACTTAAAAGAAATGGGCCAATCCCCAAAATCACAAACTACAAAACTGAATCAAGATAAAACAGCTAACATGAATAGTGCTGCAACCGTTAAAGAAATTGAATTTGTAATTTAGAAACTCTCAAAAAAGAAGAAATCATTCTAGGCCCAAGTAGTTTTACTGGAAAATACAAAAGAAGAATTAATGCTAATTTTACCCAGTCTCTTCCAGAAAATAGAAAAGGAGAGAACATTTCTCAACTGTTTCTATAAGATCAGTATTCCTCTGATACCAGGATAACGGAAAGACAGTATTAAAAGAAAAAAAAAAGAAAACTACACAGCCTGAGCAAGAGTGAGACCCCATCTCTACTAAAAATAGAAAAATTAGCCGGGCATGGTGACGATCGCCTGTAGTCCCAGCTACTTGGAAGGCTGAGGCAGAAGGATCCCTTGAGCCCAGGAGTTTGAGGTTGCTGTGAGCTAGGCTGACGCCATGCACTCTAGCCCAGGGGACAGAGTAGGGGGGGGGGGGAACTACAAACCAGTATCTCCCATGAACTTAGGTGCAAAAATCCTCTACCAAATATTAATAAATCAAATCCAACAATATATTAAAAAAAAAAAGTACACACAATGCCCAAGTGGCCTTTATTCCAGATATGCAAAACTAAAAAAGAAATAGAATAAATATCATATGATCATATTTTGGGTTTTTTGATACCAAAAAAAAAAAACGACAAAATCTAGTGCTCATTTATGATAAAAACTCTCAGGAGTAAAAGTGAAGTATCTCATTTTGATGAAGAATACCTACAAAAAGCTTACAGCTAGCATCATATTTATGGTGATAGACTAAAGGCTTTCTCTCTTAAGATGGAGAGCAAGGCAAGGATATCCACTCTCACCACTGCTGTTCAGCCTATCACTGGAATTTCCAGCCACTGCAGTAAGTCAAGAAAGATAAATAAAAAGGCCTACAGATCGAAAAGAATAAATAAAACTTTCCCTATTCACAGATGACATGATTTTTTGTATACAAACTCCTAGAACTAATAAATGAGTTTAAGGTCTCAGGATATGAGATCAGTATCCAAAAGTTAGTTTCATTTCTATATACTAACAATGAACATGTGGAAACCAAAATTAAAAACACTACCCTTTATAGTCACTACAAGGAAAATTAAATACTTTAGGTATAAACTTAACAAAACATATAGAGGATCTGGTGTGCTGAAATTACAAAGAAACCAATGAAAGAAGTTGGTCAGGTGCAGTGGCTCACACCTAGCACTTTGGGAGGCCAAGACAGGAGGATCACTTGAGCCCAGGAGTTTGAGGTTGCATTGAGCTATGATGACACCACTTCACTCTATCTTGGGCAAAAGAACAAGACACTGTCTCAAAAAATATTAATATTTAATAAGAGGAAAAATTGATAAATTGGACCTTGTCAAAATTAAAAACTTTTGCTCTGAGAAGACCTTACTAAGACCATGAAAAGACAAGCTACAGACTGGGAGAAAATATTTTCAAACCACATATCCACCAAAGGACTAGAATCTCAAATATATGAAGAATTCTCAAATCTCAATGGTAAAAACAAGCAAACAAAAATACACAAAGCAGTCTAATTAGAAGGAGCAAAGGCACAAACAAACATTTCACTAAAGAGGATGTGACATGGCAAAGAAGTACATGAAAAGATACTCAGCATCATTAACTATAAGGAAAATGTAAATTCAAGCCACAATGTAAGAATATAAAATGGCATAGCCACTCTGGAAAACAGTTCAACAGTTTCTTGTTAAGCTAAACATGTAACTATTTGTAGTTGAACAAACTGATACATCCAATACCATGGAAGGCTGCTGGGGAAAAAAAAAGAAGTCCACCATTGATGCAAGCAACAATTTGGACGACTCTTGAGTAAATGATGCTGAGTCAGAAAAGTTAAATCTTATAAGGTTATATATTAATACTATATGATTCCATTTATATAACATTCTTGAAATGACAACAGTGTAGAAATAGAGAATAGATTCTTGTTTGCCAGCGGTTAGGGACAGGGGAGGAACCAGAGAGGTGGATGTAGCTATAGAAAGGCACCTGGATCCTTGTGGCCATGGAAATGGTCAGCATCCTGGCTGTGATATTATACTGTAGTTTTGTAAAATGTTACCATTGGGGGAGACAACTTGAATGGCACAGAGATCTATCTGTTTTTTACAGTTGCATGTAAAGGTACCATTATTTCAAAATACAAGGCTTAATTTTTTTTTTTCCCTGAGACAGGGTCTCACTCTGTTGCCAGACTAGAGTGCAGTAATGTAACTATAGCTCACTGCAACCTCAAGCTCGTGGGCTCAAGTGATGCTTCTGCCTCAGCCTCCTGAATAGCTTGGACTACAGGCACTCCCCACCGTGCCCAGCTAATTTTTCTATTTTTCGTAGAGACAGGGTCTCATTCCTGCTCAGGCTGATCTCAAACTTCTGAGCTCAAGCAATCCTCCTGCCTCAGCCTCTCAGAGTGCTAGAATTACAGGCATGAGCCACCATGCCTGGCCTTAAATTTTTTTTAAAAAAAGCATAATGATACCTTCCCTTCCTGTGCCAGAGAGTCATTTTAAGTGCCAGAGAAGGTATAAGTTGGGACAAGCTATGTTTGTCACGGTAGGTACACATGGTAGCAGTGAGCCTTTACCCATCCATGTGTTTATTTTGGCTTGTATAGTCAGTATTTCTATTCTACCTTATCCAAAAAACAGTAGCTTTTATGTATTAACATCTTTAATAATAAAGTTCATTTATCTTACAACAGATTTTTTTGAGGGCTCTTTGTGCTGATTACCATACTGGGAATAAAAAAAAGGAAAAAGAAGTGTGATTGACTGAGCCTTAGTCCATTTCACATGTGAACAGTCAGTCATAGAATGGATATGGCAATAGTATTTGTTTTGAGAGCTTTGTCTGTAATGTCAACGGAAAAAAAAGACCAAACTCTGTAAAGTAATTTTAAAGAGATTTACTTTGAGCCAAATTTGAGGACCATGACCCAGAGCCACGCCCAAGAGGCCTTGAGCAGTGGACTTGCAGAGGTTGGGTTACAGTTTGGTTTTATACATTTTAGGGAGACAGGGGTTACAGGTGAAGTCATAAATCAATACGTGGGAGGCATACATTGGTTTGGCCCGAAAAGGTGGGCCATCTGGAAGCGGGGGCTTACAGGTTATAGGTGGGTTAAAAGATTTTTTGGCCTGTAATTGGTTAAGACATAAAGCTTTGTGTAAAGGCTTGGAATGTTTTAACATAAGGAGCTCTTTATCAGAGATAAGCCACTGGACATAGATTTGTTGTGTAAATTGAGGACCTGTAGGTTTGTCTTGCATAGCCTTAGGCCTGTTAGTGGTTTATAAAGGATGTCACCAAGAAGGGAGGGGGGAATGATAAGGCATGTCTGACCTCCTTCCTCTTGGCAGACAATTTAGTTTTAGGGTATTCCTTTGGCCACGAGGGGGTCCATTTAGTCAGCCGGTGGGGGGGTGAACCTTAAAATTTCATCTCAGTTCACAGTAATATAACAGAATTTTAATTCTGCATTTTAAGTTTCAAGAGACTCAGAGATTGTCGTGTTTGGTTGGCCAGTGAACTTAGTTTTTAATAATTAAGACTTCTTTTCACATTTTAGTATCATTTTGGAATGCATCTTACAATCAGTTTAATTGAATCTTAGTTTAATTGGCAGCTTTTTGCTTTCTTGATAATACATAAATATCTTCATGGCATTTTAGATTCAATGAGATCTGATAATAATGCCTAAAACCAACTATTTTTTATAATTTTTGTCTGAATGTTTTAACTGTCCTGATTTTATTAAACAGTTTTGGGGGGAGGTGTTTTTTTTTTCCTTAGAGGGACTGTTAACAATTTGAGGGTCTGCTGGTGAATTCAGTGACATTCCATGGTGATAATATATTATATGCATGTACCCAAATGTTGAAACCTCATTTCCCCTCATATTTTTTTTTCCTTTGTTTTTCAAGTGTCAATATACAGTATCTGGTTTTATGACAAGAATGATTGTCACCGCATAGCAAAACTCATGGCTGAGTAAGTATTTATATTACTCTATGGATTTAGTTGATGGTATATGAGAAATGAAAAATTTCCCTCCCCACTTCTGTTCATCACTAAAGTCTACTAACTCATGTATTTCCCCTTGATTTCCTTTTATTGCCAAAAACTTGAAAAAAGCAGAAAAGCTTTAAAAATCTAAAATTATATAATCTTACTACTTCCAGTGCACATTTCAGTCTGTTTCCTACTGGTCTTTATTTTTATGTGTACATTAAGTGGATGTGTGTGATTGTTCTTTACAAAAATAGAATCATACTGTATATACTGCTTTTCATGTCAACAGCGTTTTTCCAGGGAGTAATATTTTCCTCTCTAGTATTTATAATGACTGCATTCTATCCACTCATACAGACAGATCACAATTTAACAAGAGCCTTACTGTTGAACATGTAGGTTAGGGCTGCCAGACTGTCCAGCTCCAGAAGATGTCATCTGTATCCAGTGCACAGCCTGACCTACATATACAGTGGTTCAGGTTTAGGTTCTGTACAAATTTCCACTGCAACAAGTGGAACTGTATTCAGTAGCCTGATGGAGAATTCCCGCACACATTCATGTTTATTTCCTTTAAGTGAACTTCGTTTTGACACAGACTCTAGGCTTAGCAGGCCCTAATCCACTAATGGATTTTTTATAACTCGGACTCTTGAAATATAGAAAATAATTTTCATTGAATTAGCGTAATAAAGGGTAGCTCGTTGTCCTTTCCCCAGCTAGCCTGTAGAAGCCACCCCTTGTGTGGCCTGTGCATATTGCTGAACTGCAAATGTGGATTCTGGTAGCCCAAGGCACTGTGGTGCTGGGAGGGCCTGAGGAGCTACAGAGTTCTGGGCAAAATGCTGCAATGGACAGACTGACTCTTCTGGTGCAATTCCGCTTTCTTTTCAGTTTTTGCCTGAATCTCCTCAGAAACATGGACCTCTGTTCCTCCTCTGTCAAATCAACATTCCTTTTGCTCTGCTGCAAGGTTTTTATCTACATGTTTGGAAGAAAATAGTCAATGTTTTTTAGCAGTCTAATTTTAAACTCATGAAAGTATAAATAAATAATTAATCCCAAAACCTCAGTTCAGGGTATATTTGCATTTTAAAAGAAGACACACGTGGCTAAGGGCAAATTATGATCCAGAACTACTGATGTGTCCTGATTGGATGTTTGTCAGCCTCCTGCATTACTGTCTGTTCTGGCTGGGAGTTTACAGGGCAGGCCCGTGTTCCTTACTTTATACTACTATGTGTACCCCTGAAGGTATTATTCCCTGTGGACTTGTAGTCACTCATACTTGAAAAAGTGTCTGCTCTCTAGAATCACATTTTCTTTTTAGAACACTTTTTCTCTAAAAAAGGATAAAACTATTTTTCAACAAAGCTATTTATTTGATGATCACCTTTTTACCTTTTTTTTTGGTAAGAGACAAGAGTCTCTCTAAAATATGACTTGATTATTTATTTAATACTCAGTTATAGGCCACACCAGCCTGAATGCACCTTCATCAAGGACTCTGTCACACAGCCTGTTTTCCACCTGCCTCCTGCCATGCTGCCTGTCTTGGCCATGCTGGTATTCACTTCTTCCCTGACTTTGACTGGATCTGTGATTTTGGTTTAAATGAAGAACATTTTTTTTTTTTTTTTTTTTTTTACAGAGTCTCACTCTTTTTGCCTGAGCTAGAGTGCCGTGGCGTCAACCTAGCTCACAGCAACCTCAAAACTCCTGGGCTCAAGCAATCCTTCTGCCTCAGCCTCCCGAGTAGCTGGGACTACAGGCACGCACCACCATGCCCGGCTAATTTTTTTCTATATATTTTTAGTTGTCCGATTAATTTCTTTCTAATTTTAGTAGAGACGGGGTCTCGCTCTTGCTCAGGTTGGTTTCGAACTCCTGCGCTCAAAGGATCCGCCCGCCTCGGCCTCTCAGAGTGCTAGGATTATAGGTGTGAGCCACCGCACCCGGCCAAAGAACATTTTTAATTGCCATTGTTCACTTGTGGAACAGACCGTCTTATAAAGCTCACTGCTGCTATTAATAAAAGCAGAAGCTGTCAGGGGTGGTGTGGAAGGGGCTGTCACCCATATGGGGCTTGGACTCTAAGGTCTCTTCCAATTTATTTATTTAGTTAGTTAGTTTTGAGACTTGATCTCACTCTGTCACCCAGGCTAGAGTACAGTGGCATGATCATGGCTCACTGGAGCCTCCAACTCATAGGCTCAAGCAATCTTCCTGCCTCAGTTTCCTCAGTAGCTGGGACTACAGGCCCATGCCACCACACCCGGCTAATTTTTTTATTTTTAGTAGAGACGAGGTGTTGCTATGCTAGCTGCCCAAGCTAGTCTCAAACTCCTGACCTCAAGCAGTCCTCCCGCCTCAGCCTCTCAAAGTGGTGGGATTACAAGCATGAGTCGCCACGCCCAGCCAAAACCGACTCTATTTTTAAAAAGGTTCTGTTTAATGTTAACTTAACCCAGTGTTTTTAATGGGAGTTCCTGAACAGGATGTTTTAAAGTCATAAACTGACACTGAGTGGCCTGTTCTGGTCCTATACCCCTTATTCCATAAAAATAAACCTTTCACTACCTAATCGTTTATTGCCTGTCACAATTGTCCAGAAAAAAAGTTCTTCGTTAATACAATTATGAAGTTGTGGCTATGCCCATAAAATCCCGTGGTGAGTAGGCTTATTCTTAGTTGCCTTATTAAAATTTTTTGTCTATTTCAAGCTTGAAGAAAAATATAGAAAATAATAAAATATCTGTGCTCATCATCCAGCTTTCCGTTCCTAATATTTTGCTCTAATTGCTTCAAATCTTTCTATACTGTAGAGAGGAGATATTCTTTAAAAATGAAAGCCCACAGATAGATTTGAAGATCCCAGCCCTATCAGTGGCATTCTTTTCTTGCTTTATCAATTTTCAAGTGAAGAATTAGCTTAAGCAGCACTAGTCAAAATAAAAAGCATTCCCACGACCATCCTGAGCTTGGTCACCCACTTAGTGATTTTTAGAGGAAAAATAATGGAAACCTTTTGTTTGCTTGCAGTGCTGTCATTAACTTTTGGAGATTCACCAAGACCTCTATTTGCAAGAAGCTAATATTTCTCCTTGCTAGCCAATGTCAACGTAAACTTTCCACAGTGGGTTATTCAGCTATGTGGCCTTCCTTGTGTCTTGGTGGCATTGTCCTTTTTTTTTTTGATTTTCCTGATCCTTAATTCTGGTGCATTGTCCATTTTCAAATTTACTTTACCAATTAGTTTGATTTTGAGATAATTCTAGGAAAAAAGGAGATACGTTAGAGTTTTTAATGAACCTACTTAGACCAACTCTAAGAAGAAATTCTGTATTTTGTCCTTCACCTAAAGGTGAAATATATTGATTGGCACTGTTGTGAGTGAGATGGTGAGTGGTGGGTCGTATATTCCTGGAATGAGGTAACTGAGGCTCAGTATCAACGTATTGCAAGGACAATATCATCATGTGACATTCTTAGTGTATCCTTGGAAATGGACACCAAAAGAAGATTGGGTCAGATTATGTCTAAAGAGGCCTTTCTAATACCTGGTTGTCCTCCTCTAGTGTGGTAGAAGAGGAGACACGGAGATCCCAGCAAGCTGCTCGGGATAAACAGAGTCCCAGCCAGGCCAACGGCTGCAGTGATCACAGGCCCATCGACATCCTGGAGATGCTGAGCAGAGCCAAGGATGAGTACGAGAGGGTGAGGCTCTCTGGGTGTTGACCAGGGAAGATCAAAAGGGGCGGAGGAGGCCTGCAGGAAGCTGTGGACTGGGGAAGTCACCTTTAGGGCCAGCAGAAATAATTAGTTCAAAAAGAAAGTATGTCTTACAATTTTAAGCCTAAAAATAAGGAAAGAACTCTGCTTACTTCAGAGTGCTTGTTTTGGCAGGGAATTTTACAATGCTCTTTTTCTATTATAAAATTATAAAATTACTACAGGAGAAAATGGTTTTAGTATGCAGAAGTTAGCCCACAGCAGGTAGTTCTGGAAAAGCTTCGTACCTCTTCACCCCTGCAGTGGTTTGGATGCTCGGTGATTTTAGGAATTTACATAGGCTTTGGAAAATATTCTGATAATTTGTACCCCGTAATACTAAAAGGTACATTTATGGTGTGTAATTGGTGGTAGGTATACAGCCTTCATTAAGCATCTTTTGGAATTTTATGCAAATGAGAGGCTTTTCTGAAATTCAGTGTTTTCTTTTTCATCTGTTTTGCATTTTAGCTTATAAGTTAACTGATAATATTTTCCCCCAAAAGTTGAATAAAAGGCAATTGTGGTGCATTAGTTAATTTATTCAACACATGCTTATAAACTGTCCACAATGTGCCAAGCAGTGGACTTTTCATGACAGTGTCTTCAAATTTCGTGGCTGTGGAACTGTCCTGGCTTTTTACTTGGCACCTCAAAGCTCCACACTTCATTAGAGTGAGACTAAAGCTTTCTAGTGCTGCACTTTGTTTCAGCAAAGTTATAATTGTCACCTTAACTCTTCATTAAACACTGGGCTAAATGCTTTCCTTTCTGTTTCATCCTCACCTCACCAAAACATTAAGAAACATTGTGAAAAGCACTAAGACCTGTTTCCCAAACAGTTATACTGTAACATTAGCTTCTAGGTTTTTAATAGATGAACCTTGAAAAAAGCTTCAAGTTGGTCAAACGAGTTAAGGAAATGTTAGCATGACTCCTCCCCTCATCTTCTTGGGACCTTAGAGTGCCCGAGACTGAGATTTCCCATAATAAATAATAACATCAGTTCCCTGATCGTTTTGACTATAGGACCATTTTTTACATATTACCCTTTAACTTCTCAGGAATCTGGAGTTCAGGGAACAAACTTTGAAAAAAGTTGTTCTGGAAGGTAATTTCTTCTAACTAAAAGAGGCATATTCACCATAAACTACAATAAACCATCTCTAGTCAACCACCAAAGGAAGTTCTACCTCCTGGGTAGAGAATTGTACACTAGAGCCCATGAGAAGTTTCAAGTTGTACCAAATTCCTCAATGTCTCAAAGAGAATTAGTAGGAATGTATGGATATCTATGGAAGTTAAATATAGGGAAAGTAGTCATCTCTATAATAAATTCATTAATTCTTAGGAAACTGAATGAGAATAAATTTCAAGAGTCATTTTCTGAATTTAAAAGTTTCCTTATATTCCCAGAATCCCCTCTCATGCCCTTAATGACATCTGAGTTATCTACATAGACACCTTGTTCTGTTTGTAGAGGCCTTTCAGTGTTCTTATAGGTAACTAATAAGTCCAGAGCTCTGTCACTCATCCCGAGTGATCACTGAATCAAGGTGCCATGTGAGACAGAAACTGTAGGTGTTGCACAGTAGAGCAGTTATCCAGGAAGTGGTCTGGCTTTTTCCTTGGGCTGAGAAACGAATAGCCACAAAAGAAAAGCAAGAAGACAGGCCTTATTTTTGTATACAAAGCTTTAAAGGAACTCGAGGGTCAAGCGGGCAGTCTAAAAACCCTAACTGATTTCTAGGTATATAAATATTGCAAAAGTATCACACCTGTAATCCTAGCACTCTGGGAGGCCGAGGCAGGCGGATTGCTTGAGCTCAGGAGTTTGAGGCCAGCCTGAGCAAGAGCGAGACCCCGTCTCTACTAAAAATAGAAAGAAATTAATCGGACAA